CCCAAAACCCCAAAACCCCAAAACCCCAAAACCCCAAAACCCCAAAACCCCAAAACCCCGGAATTTGTATTCAAAATTGAACTTATTTTGGCTCCATTAGCTTATGCTTTTGCACATATTTCAACAACACATTGATTTCCTCTTTCAACTTATGAATATCATTATTAGCCTGTACGTCTTGTTTCATTCGTTCAAGCTCTTCTTTAGCCTCCTTCAAGGTTGCCTTGAGTTTGCGGTTTTTCTAAAGAATTAGACACTGGTCTTACTAAAGTGAGGTAGACTTCTCTCTCAGACATTCGTGAGTTTTCACTATGATTTTCTATAATAATAGCTGAGGCTCACCTTTGCCAGTTCTACATAATCTTTGTTTCCTAAGTAGCTCTTCTCTCAGCTTTGCAATAGTCTCATTCTGCTCATTAATCTGAGTTTGCTGCTGCTGAAGATATTTGTTAAGACATTCTAAAGGATTAGTGGTGAAATACTGATATCATGGTTCTTCTCTACAAACTCTTGATCCTTATTTGTATTGCTTTTGACTTTCAATGATCTTCTTTACCTTCTGTTTAGTCTCGTACCTCTGAAGTTCCTTATCAATCTCTTCCTCTGAGATATTGATCTTGTTGACTAAAGCATGTAGCCGAGTTGGCTCTGATCGTTCACAGACAGGAGAGTCTGAAGAGCCTCAGGCTTCTTCTGGTTCTGAAACCTCAGGGTCCTCAGAAGACGAAGAGGACATATTAAACAACCTTTTCTGTATAGGATGTTCTGTGTGTTCTGATTTTCTCACAGATTCATGATGTTCAATAACTTCAGGAAATTGTGAAGAGTGAGAACTTTTGTTCTCTTCTGGTGATTGTTCAAGATCTGTAAAATCAGCTCCATCAGAGAGTTCTATTTGCTTTATCATATCAGCTATTTTCCCATGATTTGGGGTCTCAAACATCTGTTTGACACTCTCTTCTTCGATTTCATTAAGATCCATACTAGCAGATGGGCTTTTAGACTTCAATTTATTATTAAATTCTATTTTAAAAATCTTGAAGGGGTTTTGGGGTTTTGGGGTTTTGGGGTTTTGGGG